CAGCGTGCACGCCTCCAGGAAATCTCACTGAAAAAAGCAAGCTGGAACGAACACAGAAAATTGCTGAGGCAGGTGCGCAACAAGTTTGTCCAAGCAGTGACCTGTCAGAGGAGATGCGTCCATCGATATACGATCAGAGCTAACGTTTCCTTCACTCCAGGACGCATAGCGTTTCTAGGATGTAGTTAACCAACCACAATGCTTGTCATTGACTAAGTGACTGTCTCAAAGAACGTTTTCTAAGTTGTACTACAAAGTCGCCAGTTCTCATCTTCCAGCTCCACAGAATGCTCCGCGTACTAAGTTCGACTACCAAGTCGCCAGTTCTCATCTTCCAACTCCCCAGATACTCCGCGTACTCAAGTTGTACTACCAAGTCGCCAGTTCTCATCTTCCAGCTCCCCGGATACTCCGCGTACTAAAGTTGTACTACCAAGTCATTGTACTACCAAGTCACCAGTTCTCATCTTCCCACTCCCCAGATACTCCGCGTACTAAAGTTGTACTACCAAGTCGCCAGTTCTCATCTTCCAGCTCCCCATGGATACACTCTAAGGATCTCCTATCTCTAAAATAAAAAAGGTGTGACAATGAACAGCAGCTTTCTATCGACCCGAGTCCACACGTCATGGAAGCACCGTGCTGTTCCCGAATACAGGCCCATTCTGTGCGCCTAGGTAGCAAAGGGCAGATTCTGTGGCATCCATTAAGGACTTCGGCTCCTTCTCCGGCTCCTCCTGTGAACGTTTACAGCATGTGCTTTACAGCATGACATCTCACAAGGTGGGCACATGTGAGTTCGATACAATTCTTCAATATGGCTCATATTGACTCATAATACATCTTGATATGTTTGCTGGTTTGTTTGTTTGTTTGATTTTAAAAATGCATTGTTATACTGATTGTTATATATAATGATATATAATGAATTTAATGCATTATTTGATCTTGCTTCACCAGTCTTAACATGTTGTGAATGGTGTTTGTTCAACATGTGATTCCCAGTCACTCTCTACAAACTTTCTGTCACTCTCAAGGCAACGCCTCGCGCCTCGCTTCGCCGGGACTTGGGCGGCGCGCTTTGTGAGCGGCTGAGCTGTTGGAGGTGCTTCTGCAACACGTGGATCGTGGACCCGGTGACGTCACGTCGGACCCGGTCACGCGCGCCCGTCCGAGCGGGATGTAGATGGAATATCACGGAATGTACTCACAAGGCACATTACTACTAGGCTACAAGAAACTACGAAAGTAGCTCCTGGCATTACTACTAGGAACAAGAAGCTATGAAGGTCACACCCCACAAACATAGAATATTCAACACGGTATCTCTTGCTGTCCGCCAAAACTGTTTTTTGTCGTGCCAGATTGCCAAATTGCATACTGTTGTACTCGCCAAACTTGAGTTTTAATTAGCAGAAGACTCGCAGTTTCTGTTAGCCTTTGATATCGCTCCAAGCACAAGTTGATGGAACAACAGCTTGAACACAACCTGTTCTCTCAGCGGCTCATAACTGCCTTAATCTGCCTTAAAGGGAAAGAAAGGCTGCACCATGCCGCAACAACCCAAATTCAATGCGTTCACCAATTTTGACCTGTTGTCTGTGCATCCAGCGATTTTGGAGTGGTGCCCTAAAAAATACAACTCAGGCCCAAACAAAACGCCCTTCCAACGCCGAACTCACCGGTGACATCCGGTGACCGGTGTTTCACCGATGCCCAGGTCTCCGGCAACGTTCGCCGATGCCAGGAGCTACGTTCGTAGTGATGCCCTGGGCCCCTAGTAGCGTTCTCCTAGTAGTAAGGCCAGTAGCCCCTAGTAGCTTCTTGTTCCTGGTAGTACGGCCAGGAGCCCCTAGTAGCTCCTAGTAGCAAGGCCAGGAGCCCCTAAAAGCTTCTTGTTCCTAGTAGTAAGGCCAGGAGCCCGTAGTTGCGTCCTTGCTCCTAGTAGTACGGCCAGGAGCTCCGTTCGTAGCATCCTTGCTCCTAGTAGCGATGCCCTTTGCTCCTAGTAGCTTCTTGTTCCTAGTAGTACGGCCAGGAGCCCCATTCGTAGCGTCCTTGCTCTTAGTAGCGATGCTTTTGGTACTAGTTGCTTCTCTCCTCTATCTTCGGATGCAGAATCGGATGCCCAAGTTTCGCATGCCCAGCGGATGCCCGGGCCTTTCTCATGTAATTAATGTATCGACTGTATCGACTGTTGTAAAACCCCATAACCCCCCAAACATGGACTACACAAATGCATGATAAAACTTTATTGAACATATCATCTCATTATAGGAGTCTACCATGGAATCTAGCTGTATAGGTACCCAACAGGTTCTGATTTCACGCGGCCAAAAAAAAACTATTCGCTTCCTTCTTTCATTCGTCCGCTCGTCGGTCGCGGGCCTGTCGCATCCGGAGTTTGTTGACCTGCGCCTCGGAGAGCTTGTTCGCCGGTCGGTCGCTGTCGACTCTCCGCTTTTTCCAAAGGTCGACATGACGAACGCACCGTGTGACTTTCTTGCAAAGGACAAAGGAAACAAACGACATCGACCTGGCAAAGCAAACGACATGATCTAGAGTTATGTTGGGCACTGGCAGCCATACATGGCCAACCATCAATTTTGTATGAAAAAAACGATAAACAAACCCAACAAAAGCAAATGAACACGCAAAAGCAGCGCATTTTTGTTTTTCCTAGTACCACTTCTGCACGACTTATGAGAACTTTTACCCGTCAGCAATATTTGCTGTACGCTCCTAGGAGAAAAGCTAAAAAAGAGAACAACATGCGAAAATAAAGCAAACAACATGCGAAAAAAAACGAGTTATCCCGGTAAGAGACCCCAAACAGTGTGTGGGCGGTCTGCAAGCAGAAAGTCTAAGAGGTGATGGTGGTGATGAAGTGAAGGTGGGTGTGAGTGAGTGTGGGTGAGAGGGAGTGTGAGTGAGAGTGGGAGAGTGAGTGTGAGTGCGTGTGTGAGTGAGAGTGAGTGTGGGCGAGAGTGAGAGTGAGAGTGAGAGTGAGAGTTAGTGAGTGTGGGTGAGAGTGAGAGTGAGAGTGCAAGTGAGAGTGAGAGTGAGAGTGAGTGAATGAGAGTGAGTGTGCATGAGTGTGATTGTGAGTGAGTGTGAGCGAGAGTGAAGGTGGGTGCGAGTGAGTGCGGGTGAGAGTGAGTGAGTGTGAGTGCGAGTGTGAGTGAGAGTGTGAGTGAGAGTGAGTGTGAGAGTGAGTGTGGGTGAGTGAGTGTGCGTGTGAGTGTGAGTGCAAGTGTGAGTGAGAGTGGGAGTGGGAGAGTGAGTGAGTGTGAGCGTGAGAGTGAGAGTGAGAGGGAGTGAGAGTGGGAGAGTGAGTGCGAGTGAGTGCGAGTGTGAGTGAGAGTGAGTGAGTGTGGGTAAGAGTAAGTGTGCGTGAGAGTGAGGGAGTGTGAGTGTGAGTGAAAGTGGGAGAATGAGAGTGGGAGAGTGAGAGAGTGAGCATCTGAGAGCACAAAGTACTGCGCGCGCCACGAAAATTGCACTTCGAGGTTCACCAAGTGCTGTGCCTGCCACGAAATCTTGTGCCTGCCACGAAATCTGCAAACGAGCCACATGTCCAAAGTCACGACTCACTGCACCTGTCACGAAATTTGAGCTCCTCGACGATCACGACCAGGTCCAAAGTGCTGCACCTGCCACGAAAACTGCATTTCGAAGTAAAACAGCTCCGATGCCTTGCACCTGTCACGAAAAGTCGACTTTGGAGCACCAAAGAGGTTTCCCTTGCGCCTGCCACGAAAAGTCAGCACCATGTGCGAAAACGCGCACGGCACCACAACGAGAGCGCAGTCGTTAGAAGCACCCGGCAGGCAGATTTTGCGAGCCTGCACAGTCGAAATGCACATGGACGATGTCGAGAGGCATGCATGTACTGCAAATAGCAGCGAATTAGCCGCACACACCCGCGCGGCACACATATCTAAGCATCAGCTGCCTTTCCCTTACCGTAAGAACCCCTCAGTGCGCCCACACTGTTTGGGGAAAAAATAAAAATTGAAAAAAGCGACAAACACGCACAGCTACATTTCGTTGCTTTTTGCTTGCTTTACCTTTTGCTTTTTTTGCTTTATAAAATTATGTTGGCTGCTCCTTGTATCTATGGCTGGCGCGCCCGACATAAATCTGGAGAGTGCATGAAGTGAAGCTTTTCACGATTGGTTATCCACATTATATATATATAGTCATTTTGGGGTGCCATTGATGGCAATCTACCAGGGCCTAAAACGGGCTCCAGGTTTTGACTCGCAGCCAAGTGGTGCTATGGTGCTATATCCACATCTTGCCCACCCTGCTGAGACACACCAAGAGCACCTTGTACTGCTGCTCGCGATTCTGCAAGAGCAACTGGGCCTTCGCTGTCCGATCTTTGCAATGAAGCAATTCGATCAGGCTACAATCGTTCAATGCGATAGATGGCTAGATGCCCACAGACTCACTGAATACAAATGACAATCCCTTGTGAAGGTCACCTCCAAAGGATTTCAGCTGCGTCGAAGAATTTCAGCTCTGGCGGCAGCCCCGAACCAAACCCACGGCCAGGCGCTCTTTTGACTTCTCCACTGGCCAGTCTTGTCAAGCCTTGGCACAATGGATCAAATTCAGGAGCAGCTCTAGCATTCTCCAGCAATGGAACATCCAATCAAGCGTGCCTCACCAAAATGAACACTTCCGAAGATGAGAACTTGGATGAATGTGGTCCAGGAAGCAGGGAAAACATCACCAGTTTCGGGGATGAACCCCCAGTTCGGGGATGAACACCCAGTTCAGGAAAATAACAATCACTCGATCTGCAAACAAAGAGAAAAACAAATCTTGACTGCTTGACGTGACATGCAGACTGTAGATTCTGTATACAGACCAAGATCCCTCAAGGCCTGAAGAGGTTCTACAATCCGTGTCTGGAGGGGGGGTGAAAATATCATGAAGACTCTACTCATTGGATTCCCAACGGATATTGGTGTGAGAATGTGTGAGACATGCCTAATTTCTGGTCACCTTGCAAAAACGCACTGATGGCAACTTGGAGAACACGACGAGTCGAATCGATTTGGGTTGCAAATCTTTGCCGTGTGCACTGCGTGCACATAAGTGGGCGAAACTCCGACCTCCTTGAAGGCCAGATCCCCGATCCGTTTCTTGCAAATGCGTCTGTCTGCATCATTCGTGAAGCTAAATGCTTCGTCAGTGCCAGAAAACAGCTTCTCAGGTGCAAACAGCAATCCCGGAATCAATGTATCGTGATGAATGTCCCTGTCCGTACACCATGCCGGATATGCACAACAAATCACAACACACCAAAAACATAAGGATGTAAGTCGGACCAGGTTTTGCTGGGTCAGACTGGACTTGTAGCGGTTATTACAAAAGTTCATTTGAGGTTCTAGTGACATCTATAGTGACTATAGTGGGGAAACCAATCTAAACCAATTCTCCCCAAGAAAGGCTTTGCAAGAAAGTCAGCTTGGCGACCTTATAGCTCACTCGAAGGATTGGAACGGATACGGAGTCGACCTTTCAAATTCAAGAATTTACTGCCCTCGGGATCCGACATGCCTTCTCAGGTTCGGTACGACTGGACCCTCCCTGGCACCTACATATATCTACATGCATATAATAGTGTCTCTAATCACCGTAGCTGAAAACGTACGACTGGATCCCAAAGGCTGCAACCTGCCAGTGGCACATTCACCACTTGCGGAAACCACCACGTACTTGCAGCGGCCCTGTTCGGGCTCGGGCGGCTCGACCCCATCGCAGGCCCAGGTGCATCCTGAAAAGGAACACGGACTCAAGTGCCCTGAAACCGCCCGCGTCTTGAAACCGCGCGCGTCTGGGTGCCGAGTGCCCACACGAGTTGTTTTCCAGACTCTTTCGCGACAAGCATAGTATAATTTTTGTTCATATATATATATATATTATATCTGGTAAGGCCAGAATCCTTGATTAAAAACAATCAAGATCCGAATGCAAACACGTTAGAGCAGCATCCCCATACCTTTCACCAGGGGAGGTCCTTCTACCCATTTGATAGAAATATAATGAGGGACGCAACCACCCCACACGTGTATAAATTGAAAAGTGAACTTTTATAAAAATGAGTAGTCTGCAGGTATTTTTTTGTTTGGCTATGATTTTCATTGAGTTTCAGTCACTTTTGAGGCTTCAGTGTCTCTAATTAAAAAGGGCAAACTTTCTGGGTGTTATAGCTTTCTTGAGTCTTTGAAGCTTGATTTATCTTGTTCCATGTCATTTATTGTTTTTTTGTACCTCCAAAGTGTGTACAAAATTGGAGCGTGTTTTTGTCTCCACTTTTCTGCGCTGCTCAGGTGACTGTTCTTTTGTGGATTGGAAGCTATTCCAATCAGGGCCTGCAGGCTATCCAAACGCAACTGCAGTTTCCCATCGCACCCGAGCTAAACTTCCACAAAGGCTCTCCCTGCAACAAAATGTTCACCCTGCCACAAAAAATGCTGCTGTGGGCCCTAGAAAATTTTCACAGCAAGTCTACAGGCAAACGTTTTTAACAGTGGTGAGGGGGTCAGGGCATGCCATTTTATAGAGAAAAGGTTGGCCTATAGGCTTTCCAGATCCTGCCACCTGCGTTTCACGATTCCCTGCGTCTGCCACGAAAATCGCACTTCCACACCTCAAAACCCGCACAAAGTACTGCAGCTGCCACGAAAAGTGACAATATCGCATCATGTGAGCTTCAAAAAATTCGCACCACACCACACGTTTGGAATGATTTCGACCCGTTCTGAGCACACTCCCATCAAACTCGCCATTTCAGCTGAGACTTGTCACGAAAACAGATCTTCGATGCAACACCCTGAAACGCAAACCCCAATGGCACGGCCACATCCAACACCCCAAAAACACCACTCTCCAAACGCTAATCCGGGACCATCAGAACTGCATACAGCCATCAAGGAGTACTTGGACTGTTTTCTGATGTTTTCTGCAGACGCATGGGGAGGAGTTCTGGGTGCCCAAGTGCCACATGGGTGAGTTCCTTGAACGGTGTGGTTGCCTTCTCTCATGCTTGTCATGAGCGACAGCATAGACTGGTAAAGCGTTTCGGTGATCCTGTTAACAACTTCAACCAGTCTTTTGAGAAGAGCATTCTCGCAAACGTCATCCACGTACAGCTCTTGGACTTAAGGCAAGACACATTTCATGTCGGTGTATCAATGGCAAATGAGAAGGCCGCCAGTGTTGACCTTGCTCGACATGTGCTTCGAGGTGAAGGCGATGTGAAGACTTCATGGGTGGCACAGGCCAAAGACGGTCAGATGGTCCACAAGGACGATATGGTGGAGTTCTCGGAGGGGGTCGGCCAGGTCGGCCAGGTGATGTGTCACTTGAGACAAGCAGCCATGGTTCTGACTGTTCTAAGGCCTTGGGAGCACATCCATGGCCAAATGTACAAAGTCCGGGATGTGCCCATAGTCATTAAGACCGAAGAGGTCAAGACATGTTGCATGTACAGCCTCGAAGGTGAAGACGCGATGGTGATGAGGAGGTAAATGAATGAGTTGGGTTGCAGCTGGTCCCTCCCATGTGATGTGATATCGTGTCATGTCATGCTACCATGGTACCTCCCCTTTCATGGTGTCCTATATGAATGATCCTATCATGGGTTCCCAGCCTTTCTTTCCCACGCAGGTGCTTCAAAGCCAGCGGCTGGTGACTTGGCAAATGGGTTTTGGTTTGGTTTGGGGGACATGTTTAAAACCACTTAGCATACTTACTAACTCTGTTATCTAAAATAGCGTAAGTCGACTAACTACATAGCATGTAGACCATTAATATACATAGTATATAGTGTAACTACTTAACTATTAACAACCAAGAAGAGCCTCCAAGTAGAGAGATTCTCGTCCTCCTCTCTGCTTTGATGGTTTCTTTCATTCTCCAGGCATCAGCGCCGGCTTCCGCCAATCGAGTTGAGAAAGGAGAGGGGCAATCTTGTAGTGAAGCAAATCTCACACCCGTTCAAATATCCGGGGAAGTAATTAATTTTCACTATCGGTTGCTGACAGCAACAGCGACCTGCCACAGCAACAAAAACAGTCTCAACTCTTCTCTATATCACTTCCCTCCAGGATTGCAGGATTGAAGATTGTCTCCAGTCCGCAAGTGTTTGGAAAACTAACCCGCAACTGCGCAATCTTCAATCCGTGCAACCCTAGGTTGATTTGATAGGATCAAGTCAGTGTGATTCACGTAGGATTTCATGCCAACACGTGTAATCTGGAAATACTGAGGATAAAACTGACAATCGATTCAAGGTACGGAATCCAAACTGATCCGAAATTCCACTTGAAGGCCTGGTCCGGCGCAAAGAAACAAAGAGACGTCGCACCTGGCTGTGGAAACTTCAGAGTCGCCTGTGTCTCATCACCGATGTGCTCGGAGCGCTCACACAAGGTCCTCACCTGTTGAGGGACATGGTGGGTTCCAATAGAGATCAACCAAAACACCGGTAATTCACAAACGAAACCTCTGGGTCTGATGTTAGCAAAGTCTCTTCTTCTTCTTCATCCAACGTGGAATGCCAAAGCACGTAGCTGGGTGCTAGAAAAATGGTGGTTTCAACCACTCCGTTTTTGTTGTATCTCTGTATCTCTTATAAATTTAGCTTTCTCTCGTAAGCTAATGCGAAACCTTTAAATCAACACCTGCCAAGAAATTGTAGTGTATGCTGACCGGATATTGGATGCGCAGGTGGCAATTTGTCGGATTTTGCCCAAGCCCAGAACACGGCGGCATGAAAACAGCTTTGATCTTCCTTCGATTCGAGACCAGTCCAGCCTGGATTTGGCTCTGCCAATCTGGCCAGTCGCAACGATGAACCAGATTTGGGCAGCTCTGGACACGTGGCATGGGAACCATCGACGACTCTACATCGATGAAACTGAAGCGATGGACAAGCTTCGCCATGAATGCGCACTCAGGGAAAGGGACCAAGAATTTGCCAATCGCCACGACCTTCCACTTGAGGACAACAGCTGCACACATATTCCCCAGAAGGGGATTCACGGATTCACTCAGGAAATTCATTCTACAAGTTCGATTGAAGCAGCGGTTGTCATCAGCGTCAACCGTTGCATTTTTGCAGCACGTGCTCAGGCTTCAAGGAGTCACCAATCCCAAGGGAACACTTTTGACATCTTTTGACCCTCTCTCAAATAAACATGCAAGTGGATTGTAGCTGTCATATGAACTCATGTTTCAAAAATTGTTTGTCTTCGATGATGCGAGGAAAAGTAGCTGAGCAGCTTCCACTTATTTTTAGGGGGGGACACGAGTCAGGTCTTCCCATGTCTTCCCAGTCCCTGGCTGGTTAGCTCTGTTTGGCTCCTGGGGTCCCCCAAAGATGTCCAACTTCGGCGATGCGGCGATGTCACGCGAACTTCGGCATGCCACACGACGCGACGCGACGAGTCGAATCCGCAGATCTGAACAAGACTTGGGATTTGTCGGGCGCTTCTAGTCTTTGGGATTAAGAAGGAAAATCCACCAAACTTAGGGGTTTTTCAGGGTGATGCCGAGTTCCTGGTGAAGGGTTCAAAAAGTTTGGGATGCCTCGTCATGTAGCGACATGTTGGCATGTAGAGTTCATTCTGCACCGTCAGAAAACGCCATGGACATTGGGATGTCAAGCATGGAACTCATGGAAATCATTACACCCTGAAAGACTAACATGGACCCTGAAAACTGCCACTGGTTGGTAGAGGAAAACACTCGATCTTCCAGGGGGCTATCATTAAACTTATTGGCTATCCAACGGTTGTAGCACTTGTTATCAAAAAAAAAAGAACGGCGGGTAGGTCCCATCCTCCAAGAGGTGATGATTGATGGTTGTGACGGGCCGTGCTGAAAATGGGTGACAATTCGTTGGAGGATGCTGGTCTAGTGATATGAAATATGTGCCGACAGCAGTTTGGAAACGCCATTCCGAGTTTAGTCTAAAGCAGCCCATCAATCAGTTCACCTGCGATTTGTTGGGACTCCCCATTCTTCATCATTCACTTGCTATGTGGCCAGGGACATCCAAATCGGATGCTCCCCCTCTAGAAATCGCTGAACCACATTTTGAATCACCAATCAACCAATTGGTCTCTGAAAAGTACCCAACTGTTGCGCCAGGCCATCCAGCATCAAGGGCATCCCTTTGATTTGATTTAACCGGTTGCAAGTCATGATATCATTTGGAGGGAATCGCCACCCCATGTTCTGTTCCTTGTCTTGGGATAAGGAGCTGACAGGGCGTTTCACCCACCATGCGAAACCAGTGTCATCCAGAAACCGAAGAAACGAGCTCTATCAACTCAACAAATTCATACAAATTCAATCGGTGAAGCCCGCTATAAAATCCTTCTTCAGAATCTCTATGGATCTGGGCTATGGGTCCAACCTAATTGCAGAATCTTTGCAGAAGCACAAAGCACTTCTGGGTTCTAAAGCCTCCTATTGCCTGCCTGCGTCTTCGGGGATGTGGTCGCTAGACATGCGATCCAACGCTTGACCCAGCGCATCCCGGCCTTCATGGTATCATTCCAACTCGCGCGAATTGCCTCTCCAACCACCGGGCGGTGGCGGAAGCAGCCGGGGACCGAGCCGCGGCCTGCCCTTTGGGCAATTAGAAGAAATATATAAACTAAAATGAACAAACTAGAAACACACATGGTCGTTTGGGTGTGTGTCAAGTTTGGGAGGCCTGTGTATGACGTGTATCCCAGAAAAAGGGCTGTTTTGGCAAGATACCCATCCCATGGCCCCTACTGGCCACCAGGCCGCAGCAGCAGTAAGACTCCCTAATGTATTGAATCGTTCCAGGCTCAACATGTTCTTTATGAAAGCAGGCCCAAAATCGTAGAAAAAGTTGATGACAAATCATCATGATGATCTGTTTGCTCCTCTTTTTCAATGGTTGTCCGTGGCCTTGTATTCTTGTATGGTCGCCAATCACGCTTGGCAGCCTTGTTGGGCAAAACATATTGCCACATTACCTTCCTGACGCAGGGTCCCAAACCCTCAGGAGAAAAAAACAGCCGGCAAAACCAACTTGCGTGTCATTTCACCTTTCTACATCTGGTAGTTGGTTTTGATTTGGGGTATATGACCCAGGAATGCGTCTGGCTTTGGAGTTAAGACTGGGTGCAAAGGTTCCGGACTGAACCGATTCCCAGCGAAGGTGTAGCACAGTGACAGCACAACATGGTGCTGAAAACACGGGAATTCTGGATGATTGGCAAAGAATGTGCATGATACAGATTGGATTGTTAGGGATTCAGATGATCAATCTATCGATCCCAAAACAAGTCACACCCGCATGCAGCATTATGACATATGCTGCCTCGAACTCCTCCGCAGTGTAGAGAGCTTGATTTCGTGCCAGATCTCTCTGGGTCTCGAGATAGTCCTCCCAGGGGCAATGTGAAACTGCTAACAGGATGGCTTATAAACTACTCAGCACACCATGTCTAGTTCTGTCTAGGTACGCAAGCGCCAAGAACTCATGTCGGAACTCATTTTGGTCTATATCCACATCTTCCCCTTCGAGAGCAAGTGATGTCAAATTTCCGCCCCGTTGGACGAAGTCAAATGGTTCTCATGTGCAAACCTCACAATTAGTGACTCCAAATCTATAGCCATGCGGGGTGGTCCTGTCTGGTAGGAATGTGTTCTGTGTAATCATGTGTAATCATGTGCGGGTGCCATTCATTCAGCCAGATTGATGCATGCAGGTTGAATGTGTTTGCTGAACTCAAATAGGCAGCATCTTGGACATCTTCACGGGACATTGATCCCTCACGCATCACAATGCAAACATAGCGACATTACAACTGACTCCCTCAGCCTCCCTGGAAAATAAAGGTAGACCAGGTGTAAAGCGTTTTTCACCTGTGGGATTTATTGCGGAAACAAATCATCCAACAAGGTTAGAATATGTTAAATATTGGAAAATAAGTGTCCACCTATTCATGGGGTAGGACAAAGGGATCTAGCCGAGTGCCATGTGTATGATCGACTCTGCTGCCAAGGGGCATTGATCTCATCCAGCTCTGCCTTGGTGTTCTCGTGTGCCTGGACCAATGACTGAACGCCAATCAGTACCATCAGACTGATCAAGGACCGAGGAACACTGTGAAGCTGACCTGCATTGATCAGCGAACTCTGTATAAAAGATTGAATCTCATCAAATATCCACAAGTGTCTCCAAGCTTTCAGGGCTCAGTCTCATGGGGTCTAACTTCAGAATCTCTACAAATAAGGCTTAGGATATCTTAGGATCTTCTTCCTGAGATGTTCCCACTCACTCTTCTTCTTCATGGCGACCCGCAGGCAGCGGCAAGGGCCTCTTCGGCCTCATCCAAGCGTTGCTCCAGGTGCCGCTCGCGGGTCCATCGTTGGAAGGCCTCGTTCTCAAAGGTCGGCGCGTCCGCCTGACGCGGAACCGCGTGACGAACGAAGGTCGGGCAGCTGCCGGTCGGCCGTCACGAAGGTCGGCAGCTGCCGGTCCTAATGGATGTTCTTCTCAACTTGTTCTCAAAACTTCTTCTCAACATCCGATGTTTTGGGGCTGGCTGAGGTCAAACGACGTCAGATGGTGAACAATCCCATGAAGAAAAGGTGAGAAATAGAATGTCAGTCCAGCTATTGTTCTTGGCTTCAACATGCTTCAACACAATATGTCTCCTTCAAGATAGCTAGCAAGGCCGGTGCCAATGGGTTTTGGTCTATTTCCCTTCTTTCCAGTGGGGTCGAACTGGGAGGTCTTCCTACTTTCCGCTTCAACAAACTTCTGTCCCTCTGTCTCGAGGTGGCACCGCCGAACCGAAGCGGCGCACTTTTGCTCCGAGCGGGGCGGCAGACCACCGAAATCGGATGGGATCAGGGAAACAGCGACCTCCCAAAGTGCCCAAAAGTGCCGTGGCAATCAGCGACCTCCACGGATTCCAAGGTGAACAGTCGCGAGAAAAACACATGTTTTCTAAAGTTCCAGGCGAACACTTGCAATCTATGGTGTCCAAAAGGTCTAGGGATGCCCAGAGTTCGGTTCCAGACTGATCGCGGTGAGAAGCTCCGTTTTCTGGGCGTTGCCGTTTTGTTGGAAGTAACTCCCATCCGCTGGAAGCAGAGTGTCTTTTTTGCAAAGAAAACCTTCTCTGAGTTGAAATGTCCTCAGAGGGTGTCAATGAAAATCTGCCTACTTTTTGTTGGCGAGGCAAATTTGCTGGCACCACATCCCTTTCTCATGCTTCTCTTTAATTATGTTTTCCTCTGCAGTTTGTCTGCTTGCTACAATGTCAACAATGTCAACCGCAACGGTACGTGTGGAAGAAAACAACTCAGGCCCAGCCAATTTGAGCATCCTTGCATATCTATGTCCATGCTTTGTCTCTATAGATCAACCAAGGCCACAATGACATAATGACATGCGGAAACAACTAACATCACGACACTATAATACATGTACCTGGGTGGAAGCAAGTTGATCAGGATTGAGAGTCAATATGTTCAGAACATCATGAACGAAAGGACATGTCAAATTGTGAGATTGGTTGGATACAGTCTACAAAATCCAACATGAGTGGGATCTAAAACATGTTGACTGAACGTCTACTGCCAGTCTACCGCCTATGTGGCCACGTAATATGTCCTTACACGCCATATATACCAACCTACGCTGGCCTGAACTGACATAGTAACTCAAAAAAAAGAACCGCCCCACACCCTGATTCTTGTCATCGATTGTGCACTGGATTGTCGGGTGCGCATCGATTGATCCACCCAAAAACCGCCGCCAGACTGCGGCTGTTCAAACAGCACAGCGCCTGCTGCCGTGGACCTTCAAGGATTCCCTCCCGAAGGATCGCCTCGCTGCGACGGGCAGCGACGAGCGGACCTGAAGCGGTCCACGACGGGTCCGCGAAGCGTGTGGAAAAGACTGGACATGGATCGTGGTGAGAATCGGACATGGAACATGGAACGACGCATTTCGTCTCAAACAAATCAAGTAGCACGGCCAGTCGTCGCACGCATCCAATGTCGGATCAAGCCATGGAGAGCGAGTTGGGAACTTCTGGTACGGACATGGAGCCCAGAAGGGATGACACATATATAGAACTGGCCGGTCCATTGAAAGGACGGCCATGAAACACATGAAAAAAAAACACCTGAAGAAGAACTTCCCCACTTCTGTTGCAAAGAATTTCAAACAAAAGCTGTTGAGACCATGGGAAAAGAGATGATCAAGTTGCAGGGTGTCTCCACCAATTAAATGTCTGAAGAAACCACTCGAAGTCTTTGTTTCTACCGTTTTGCGTTGGGAGAAGACTCTGTCCTGGTACGCGGCATGGATCTGCACGAAGCGCAAATGGGCCTTGGACTCGGCTCAAGCTGTGTATTGATCTAGCTGCTCCACGCAGCTGCTTTGGCTCCCAAAACCGTCAAGCGTATTGTTTTGACGGAGGCGTCCATGGATCACAGGAGTCGATGTGGTCAAAAGAAGAGAACACGAGAGGGCCATGGATTCGATGGATCACAGGCTTTCGACCTTCCTTTTCAGCATGGTTTTACGAATTCATACGGATGAAAAACAAAAGAAGCAAAACTTCCACTGTGGCATCAGTAAGGGAGTCCCGTACCGTACGTATATATGAAGAGATGTAAGTGAAGCATCCACGTTGATTTGGTGCAGGACTTTCAGTCCACCAGGACTTCATCTTAGGTCGAACGTGGGGTCACAATTCACGGCAATCGTACTACTTACAGCGGTGCAATTGATCACCATCTCGAGGTAAAACAAAACTCTCCTCCCTGTGATCTGAGACTTTGGAGCTTCGCTTGCCTTTCCGATTACGTTTTGGCAATTTCGGGACGAAGAAAAAGGATGCCGGCTTTCGGACGAAGCTTTAGGCCCAGATCAAGATACCCATACCCTCTGAGAAGGTGATTAGAGACTCCTTTATGTGTGACTGTGTTTGTTTCCACAAACAAAAGGTGGGGAGGCTCCAGGTGCACCTTCCGAAGCTATGTGGATCCGAGGATGCCATATTCGAGTCTTAGAGCCACACGTTCTCAATCTCCTGGAGGCTCCGTGCTGTGCCAACTACCCGGTTTTGTGGGCGAGCGGACCGGTGCGAACGATGATCTCGTCACGGTACACAGTAGTCACCGCGCTTTCAGTAAGTCACATTGCTTTGAGTAGTCCCTTCCAATCTGTGTCCTTCCATCTCAAGCCTGGCTGATCACAGTCAGCTCAAAACAATTGGACAACATTCAAACAATGCCATAGAAGCATGAGCGATAGTTCATGGCTCTGAGAAGACTTTACCTGCTAATTTTGGGCAAACATGGCGAAAGCCTTGAGGGGATGTGCTTGGTGTCCAGCTCCGGTCATCGTTACAAAAAAACATCCAGTCCTCTTCGGAATCTCCTTGGTGTTTGTCTGGATGCCATCGCCTGCAATGGCGGGCAAGGGCATGCAAAAGGATATCATTGACATCCACGGTCGTTTTGGACAAAGATCTTGCACGGCTCAACCAGTCAGTTGAGCAGTGATCAGTGCAAGTGCTTCCAAGCCGGAGCTGCATTGTCAGAGTTCAAAGCCAATCAAACACATCATTGTCAGAGTGCTTCATTAATTACTAGTAGCAGGAGATCAGGAAATGACCCCCGAAACCCCCCAATAGAAATTCCTTTGGAACTCATTCCCTCATCCTGCCTCATTCCCAGCTGAACACTAATCGGAACACATGCGGGCATGGTCAAACCCTCATGTGTGACTCGACGGGCACCTGGCTTCGCGGAAGAAGCGCTTCCGCACCACTGCCATACCACTGCCCTCAGGCACCTGGGCCACCAACGCTGGAACCTGGGGGGCGGAGGGGTTGGTACAATAACACCAAGACATTGAAACCACTCCAATGTATATATACAGTGGTTTCAGAGTAGATGGCACAGACCCCAAGATGTCCTTTAAATGGGGGTCCATATAAACCACCTACTCTCAATCCAATGTATGTAAATATGCCAGTCCCAAACAGGTCGTGTCTGGGACATGTCTGAGATGGAGTTGAAAATGGATGATTGGAACACCCGGAACTGGTTTCATCATCGCACCTCCCCCACCAGTCCCCAGGGGCCTCCCGAACAAACGAGGAATCGGTGCAGGTGTTTTCAGGGGTCAACCAGGGTGCCTGATGACTTCATGCGAAGTCATGCAAGAGACACTCAACACCACGGGTTGTCCTTGCTTCCTTGCGCTTCCTTGCTTCCTTGCTCATGCTGGGCGCCCGAGTCTGAGAGAATCGGTCAAAGCTTCACGTTGCTCTGTGTAACTTGGACATCCAAATCCAAAGTAAATGTTGAAAACTGATCCGTGGAGACCCCGTGTCATCTTCAATCATGTGCACTTCCAGGACATGTTCCTGCTAGGATTCTCTAAGTGGATGCTAATTTCTACTCAAGTCAGATGGCAGGCAATGAACACTCTGCATTGCCAGGCGAGCGTGATGCTGTGGCGCAACGTCTTCCAGACAGGTCTTCCATCGTGGAAAACACCTCTGCACTGTCGAATTAAACATCTCCCCATGCACACCGGTCTCAAAGATAAGGTTAAGTTACCTACCAGCACCCTCCGTTTTGGGGTCTCCTGGCTCGAAAATTTCAGACGCCGTGGATCTTGGAACTACGTCTTTTGGAGGTCCAAAGAAATGGAAGATATGATATACATATAGCTTCTTGTTTCTAATAGCTTCTTGTTACTACTAGTAAGGCACCTGTTACTACTAGCGAGGCACTTGTTACTACCGGTAGGACATACTGTATACATTGATCCCCATGTCAACCACCCCAAAGTAGCTGAAGAGGCCAGTCCGGAGTCCGGATCCTCTGGCATCCGGCGATGGTCGAGCAGCTGAGCACCGGACCCCAAGGATCTCGTAAGGCGAACGGCCTCGCCAGAACAAGAAGCTATTAGAAACAAGTGCATCGCTACTAGTAACAAGTGCCTTACTAGTAGTAACAATAAGAATATAATTGTAATAAGGTATAAAGCTCTCGATCATACATTTCAACCCTCCCATGGGGTTGAGTCTTATACCTTATCGAGAGTCAAGAAACCAAACATAGGCTTGAAGAGGTTTTCGGATCCTGGTTACTGGTTTTTGTTTCGAATCAAGAATACTACATGAAGCAGCACCCTGTCGTCGATGTTGACGGCAGTCGATTCCTTTTCACAAAAAGCGAATTCCTCCAGGGTCGTCTGGGCAATGAAAAAAACAAAGATCATGCATAATGGCGAACACACCCCTAGAGTATCAACAGTCAGTCCGGGGCATCTCGCAGGGCAGGTGTGGTGAGACTTGGGTCACATGTGAGACTCTCTGAGGGATTGGTTGGGTGTCAATGTGGATTTTTCTTGCAGAACATTAGCTCCTGGCATTACTACTAGTAGCAAGAAGCTACTAGTAACAAGGGCATCGCTACTAGCAGGAAGAATGCTACTAGTAGCTCCTGGCATTACTACAAGTAGAAAGAAGCTACTAGTAACGAGGGCATCGCTACTAGTAGCAAGAAGCTACAAGTAGCTCCTGTCATTACTACTAGTAGCAAGAAGCTACTAGAAACAAGGGCATCGCTACTAGCAGCAAGAATGCTACTAGTAGCTCCTGGCATTACTACTAGTAGCAAGAAACTACTAGTAACAAGGGCATCGCCACTAGTAGCAAGAATGCTACTAGTAGCTCCTGGCACTACTACTAGTAGCAAGAAGCTACTAGTAACGAGGGCATCGCTACTAGCAGCAAGAATGCTAATAGTAGCTCCTGGCATTACTACAAGTAGCAAGAAACTACTAGTAACAAGGGCATCGCCACTAGTAGCAAGAATGCTACTAGTCGCTCCTGCATTACTACTAGTAGCAAGAAGCTACCAGTAACAAGGGCATCGCCACCAGTAGCAAGAATGCTAATAGTAGCTTTTGGCATTACTACAAGTAGCA